CATATAAGATAACAAGATACGATCACTTTTCATTTTACCCACTTACCAGAACCCTTAGGGATCCATAGGAATATCCTCCTACTCGTGAACCCAATATCTAATTTAATAATTAACCGGTCGTCCCTATATCACGTCTGGTAGTTGGTGTCAAACATTCCACCACCTCGATACCTCGTCTGATATGAGAGTGAATCATATCTCACAAACCTTACTGGAAAAGGATTTTTCAACCTCGTCCAACTGAGGTAACATTCACAATAGGGTTCCCTATATACCGAGTCTGTCCGTCCTTTCCCGAATACCCAATAAGTCTTTCATATATAAATTTTTATCAATATAACAATCAATCACACAATACCAATAGCTCATTTTATATTCACATATCACTTAAACAAACGATATAGTCTAGCATATCCAAATAACCAATAACCAAAATACCGATAAACAATGTAGGAGGAACTAAATAACCAAGAAAACCCTAAAAACTATCAATTCAATTATGCACAGTTTAATAGTAAACAAATATAGGCAGTACACAAAAATAAATAGAAAATCAAAATAATCGTAAACTAACCGGTTCTGCCTCCACTAGTGACATGTAATTATTTTTAGAGTTCTCAAAATTTTCATAAAAACACACAATTATTAATTATTAAGCTCAAATTTGCCGTAACGGAGAATAGGGTGAAGGATCCTTACACGGATCGGTGTTTCGGGACGCCGCCTTGTCTACTATGCTTCCTAACAGATATCAAGTTTTCTGAATTTTTTCTGCGGAAACCAAAATACTTGTCACGTACCTAAAAATACCATAGAAATCTAAAATCGGTGTTCAAAACTCATTCCGGCCAATTTTAGGGTTCCGGCACGGTGCTGCTGCTGTGCTCCGACACCGGCTCTGCAGCCCACGGGGGAAGTTTGCCTCTCCCTAGCCGATTTTAGCTATTTTTGGTCAGTTTTGGCTGATTCTTAGGCAGTTTTGGTCGTATCCCTGTAAACAAACATGTTAGGGGCCTCAATTGGTCAGAAAATCACAAAAAATCAAACCTACCAACGAGGTGACCTCCGAGTGCAGGGGCTCCGTCGATTCTCCTTCGCGGCTAAGATTCTTTTTTCTATCAACCTGCACAGAAAAATATGGTGAACACAATGATTGAAAAATCACGTGAAATGGGAATCGGGAATGAGTTCATCAGAGGGGTTTTGGGACTTTGACCGCAACGGCTTCGCCCGCGGTTTTCAGCTCACCCGTCGTCCATTTTGCTCCGATTTGGTCATGAGGGTGCTCAAAATCAAATTTCAAGTGGGTAGGAAATATTTTTTAACTTTTTTTAGCAGTCGGCGATCGACCTTCTTCTTCGGCGTCTAGTTTTTCTTCTCCGACGAGGGCTGGCAGCTAAGGTTTGGGTTCCCGTGTGATGCGAGGTATTTATATCCATCCTATTTTGATCTGGGTCGTTCATCACGATCGATCTCGCTCATCCGATCGCGCCAAATGAGAAAATGAATATGGACCGTTTATTGCAATTCGATCTTGATCGTCTGATCGTGCTTTAAGGGAGAACAAATCTGGGTCGTCCACGCACGCGGGAGCGATCATGGACCGTCTGATCGCAGGGCACGCAGATCGCCCGCATGGCATCCTGCGTGGCACCGATGCCAGCGCGCCTCACCACACAACGTGCTACGGTTCGTCAAGGTTGCTGATTGGTGGGCAGTCTTACGTGACACAATTTTTTCTATTTGCACTCTAACCCCTTATTTCTAATTTTTCTTTCAAAAATACTCCCGAACCTAAATTTCACCCATTTTTCTCAAAATTATTTCTAATTTCATTCATAACCTATTTTTTCTATAAATTCAACAAAAATTAAAGTAAATTAATTTAAAAATAAATTTTACATATATTTTTGAATGTTCAAATGGTTTTCGGACCAAATTCCGAAACCGGGTGTTACATTTAATGTTTATTTTTCCGTTTAATAATTATATAAGTTAATTTTTATTTTACTTTTACGTAAGAATTATAGAGGTATATATAATTTCTAAATTCATACATCTATCTAAATATCTGTGAGATAAATATGAATTTGTATCCATGAGCATCAATACCTAAAATTCCTTTTACATATGAATATTTTGAGAAAAGAACAAACAGATAAAAGAGCTGGAAACAGTTCCGATACACAAGTTTTTACCAATGTCCATGTTCCCTTCTATATTTGATATTATGGGTATGCAAGTTTCATGAATACCCTTGTATCCAATTGATATATGATTGGTCCCAGTCAAAAGGCAAATAAAATTAGTACAAAAAAAATTTTTTGGGCGAGAATAAACCACAAAATTTTATATTCAATAATTGTCACTTTCATTGCTGCTCAGGAAAAGTTTAAATACAAGAAAAATACAACTGCTAATTCCTACTTTTAAGCAATAAAGACAATGGAACAAGATCATGAAACTAGAAAATAGGATAATGGCTTCAATTGATTTCTAAAAATGGGATAATGGCTTCAACTACTTGTTGACTGAGTCTACCACAACTGCTACTCACCCTTTTACTGCTGAGATATTTTGGGTGTGTAACATTACCTCCCCCTATTTTACGA